TAGCTTAATTGTTAATAGTAAGGAATAAACAATTCGAAGCAGTGTTTCTTCTGATAATGACTTTGCTCACTGATCACTAACAGTTTTAATTAAGGCATGAAACGACAACTACATGCAAATTTTCCGATAGATATTTTGCGAAAAATATCTCATTACAGAAATGATGTTCGATGTAAGAAACAAAGGGAGCTGGGGAGTAACCACTCCCTTATTACTATTTATCTTACGTAAGCAGTAGCAAGAGGAAAACGATTATTCATAGACCCGCAAACTTCAGAGGAGTCACTAAGGATTGAAACCGCATCGTCGAATGTTTATTTGAGGATGTTTTTAGTAACATATTTTTATAGCAGTATTTTCAAATATTAATATTAGCATAAAAGGCGACCTGTAGTCAGGGAGAATATGTTGCGCCAATCTTAGAGAAGAGCATGACTTATATCCTTTGAAAAGTAAACATTCTTAATTCTGTTTATTAATAAGAATCAAACCCGGCGCAAAAGAAACCGGGTTGAATAGAGATTTTCTAAGTGTAGCTTAAATGTGGCATAAGGTTGAATGTATGCAGTGAAAGCCGTAATTGATTTAACGAGATAAGCTTGGTAACCATTGCAACACGTCGAAGAGCCCGATCTGGGAAACATTGGGTAACAATTCATTTAATACGGAGTCTAGTTAGGTACAAGGTTAAGTATTATGAGGACCCTGTTAAGAACAATTTAGGGACAGTATTACTCATTTCGCGCTGTGCATTGCAAGACTTTTTTTCACTCACTAATATTTTTTTCTCTTATTTTATTTAAATCTGACAATTCACAGTAGGCTCCTGTTGTAGAATGTTCTATGTAAGTTAGTTAAGTAAATTATAGATAGTGAATTCTGATTCATTGGGCCATCGACTTTTTCAGATTTACGTAAGATGAGAGTGTTCAATCTTCGACAGAGTCATTCTGCGGTATTTTCTAATGAAGAGCTTTTATGGGAGTTTTGTTGTTGTTTTGTCTGTAAAACGACATGTCGCATTATTATCCTTCTTTCTTCTTTTTCTTTTTTCTTCCTTTCTTATTGTCTTTTTTCCTTTACCTTCTTTCTTTCTGCAATCCTTATTCTTTCTTTCTTTATTTATTTCTTTCGTTCTTTCTTTCTTTCTTCCTTCCTTCCTTCCTTACTGCTTTGTTTCCTTCTTTCTGTTTTTGTATTTTCCGTTATTCTTATTTTTCTTTCCTTATACTTTCTATTTTTCTTTATTTTAAACTATATTTCTCCTTTTCAGATGCTCTCTCAGTCTTCTTGATTTCTTTTTATTCTTTTTGTCCTTCTTCACTGTTCTTTTTCTACTTCCTTTTTCTAGATTTATTTCGTTCTTTTATATTTTAGTTTTTATTTCTTTATGTCTTTCTTTCTTTTTTTCTGTCTGTTTTTTTCTTTTTTCTTTTACCTTCTTTCTTTCTTTGTGAATTCGTTTCTTTCTTTCTTTCTTTCTTTCTGTCTGTCTTTCTTTCTTTATTTATTTATTTATTTATGTCTCTTTTTTTCTTTTACCTTCATTCTTTCTTTCATTCTTTCTTTTTTCTTTCCGTCTGTCTTTTTCTTTTTTCTTTTACCTTCATTATTTCTTTCTGCCTTTTTTTCTTTTACCTTCATTTTTCTTTCTTTCTTTCTTTCTTTCTTTCTTTCCTTCTTTCATTCTTTCTTTCTTTCTGCTTTGTTTACTTCTTTCTTACATTCTTTCCTTCCTTTCTTCCGTCTTTCCTTCCTTCCTTCCTTCCTTCATTTTCTATCTATCTATCTATCTATCTATCTATCTATCTATCTATCTATGTTTCTTTCTTTCTTCATACTTACTTTCCTATGTTTCTTTGTCTGTCTTTCTTTCATCTCTTCTTTTTTCTGTCTGTCTTTCTTTCTTACTTTCTTTCTGTATTTATTGGTCTCTTTTTTTTCTTTTTTCTTTTACCTTCATTCTTTCTTTCGTTTTTTCTTTCTTTCTTTCAGCCATTTTTCTTTTTTCTTTTACCTTCATTTTTTTCTTTCTTTCTGTCTTTCTTTCTTTCTGTCTTTCTTTCTTTCTTTCTGCTTTGTTTACTTCTTTCTTACTTTCTTTCCTTCCTTCATTTTCTATCTATCTATCTATCTATCTATCTATCTATCTATCTATCTATGTTTCTTTCTTTCTCCATACTTACTTTCCTATTTTTCTTTGTCTATCTTTCTTTCCTCCCTTCTTTCTTCCTTTCTTTCCTTCGCTTTGTTTCCATTTCATCTCTTTGTCACTTTTTCAATTTTCTCATTTTACTTGTTTTTTTTTCTTAGACTCCTTTCTTAACTTCTTTGTGTCTACCTTCTTTTTTTTTCTCTTTGAATAATTTCTGCTTTTATCTTCGCTTTGTTTTCATTTATTCATTATTTTTCTTTCTTTCTTTCTTTCTTTCTTTCTTTCTTTCTTTCTTTCTTTCAAGATTTAAGATTTCTGTTTTTATCATTCTATTTTTCATTTGTT